AGTCAGAGTTACAGTGAGAGAGGGAGGGAGGGAGGGAAGGAGAGAGAGAAACAGAGAGGGAATCTTCCATATGCTGGTTCACTCCCCAAATGGCCACAATGACCAGGGCTGGGCCAGGCTGAAGCCAGGAGCCAGGAGCTTCTTCTGGTTCGCCCAAGCACTTGGACTATCCTCTGCTGCTTTCCCAGACACATTGTCAGGGAGCTGGATCGGAAGTGGAACAGCCGGGACTCGAACCACTGCCCATATGGGATGGCAGCGCTGCAGATGGTGACTTTACCTACTACATCACGGCGTCAGCCCCGCCCTGCCTGCCTCTAAAGCCCTGCTAAAAGCCAGTGCTGTTGGCTGAATCTTCTGCTACAGCAACTTCAGAACAGTTTCTGCTTGTTCTCACGTGGATGGGCTCTGTTTATTTTTACAAAGTTGAAGACTTCAAGAAGTTCCCCTTACCCACGGTTTTAATTACCCACAGTCAACTGCAATCTGGAAATGTTAAATAAAAAATTCCAAAAATAAACATGTCATGAGTTCCCCCCCTGCCCCCCCGCAAGATGTGTTTATTTATTTGAAAGGCAGAGTGACACAGAGAGAGGGAGAGACAGAGATCTTCCATCTGCTGGTTCACCCCTCAGTTGGCCACAATAGCCAGGGCACTCCATCTGGGTCGCCCACATGGGTGGCAGGAACCCAAGTGCATTAGCAGGAAGCTGGATCAGCAGCACAGGGTAGCAGGGACTTGAACCAGGCACTGCGACACGGGACACAGACGACCAAATCTGTAGCTTAACCTGCTGTGCCACAACACCTGCTCTGATTCCTACGTTTTATTTATTTATTTAAAAGTCAGAGTTACACAGAGAGGCAGAGAGAGAGAGAGAGAGAGAGAGGGAGGTCTTCCACCCACTGGTTCACTCCCCAAATGGCTGCAATGGCCGGAGCTGCGCCAATCCAAAGCCGGGAGCCAGGAGCTTCCTCTGGGTCTTCCATGCGGGTGCAGGGGCCCAAGGACTTGGTCCGTCTTCCACTGCTTTCCCAGGCCATAGCAGAGAGCTGGATCAGAAGAGGAGTAGGCGGGACTTGAACCGGCGCCCATATGGGATGCCAGCACTACAGGCAGCGGCTTTACCTGCTAAGTCATAGCACCAGCCCCAATTCTTAAGTTTTAAGTTGTGTGCCATTCTGAGCAGTGTGACCAACTCAGGACGTGAATCACATGTACACTGTATCCACAATGTATAAGCTACCCCCTTGAGAGCCACTGAGTAGTCATCTACAGGACTTGGCTCTGTGGTTTCAGGCATCCACACGTGGACTGGTGGATGAGAGCTCTGTCTGAAAGCCTCTTCATAAATACACAACCATTAGTTTCCATAATCTCACTTAGTCCCCCAGACCCTGGGAATCCAAGCAATGCAGCAGCTGTACCGTCTCAGGACCTGTGCCGGAATCTCTAGGAAAATTTCTGAGCTCCCTGAAGTTCTCCTAAGAAAGGCACAAAACACAGAGCAAGTCCCGAGTCCTTGGGGAGAGGCTTGTGGACACAGGCGGTGACACAGGCACTGCCTGGCTCCCCCCACCCTTCAGCCACCATCGCTTGCCTCAGGCAGCCTCATACCAGTCCCGCCCACGTCCCCAGAGACACCTTCTTCGGAGGTTAGGGGTGCGGGTGAGGAATGAGAGCCTTAACAAAGCCCTCAGATCTCCCTGGTACTGTTTACAGCCTTGGCAAAGATAGACACAGACTCAGACACTCACAATGAACTTCCTGTTTTTATTTAACAAATGGACAGTTTGCATGGCAAATACTGTGTATGAAATATCAATTGTTTCCTTTTCCAACAGCAAAACATGATCTTTTTTTTTTCTTTAAGCCCAGAATGTACTCTCCTTACCTTGCCTGTCGACACTTATTTTTAAACTTGAATTGCTAAGCATCATTTGCAAGGATGTGGGTTTGTGGTCTCTGCTGGGGTGGCCGGGGACTCCTGCAGCCACAGTGGCTGGGCGGGCCTTGGGCTGCGGGCTGTCTCCATGCTGCCTGGCCTGGTTCCCTGTGACAATGACGTCTCAGCAGCCACTGCTGCCAAGGCTCTTGGGCCTGGGCTGCAGCCCAGAGATCTTGGTTGGCCGTGTCCTGCCATTTAACACATCCCAGGAACAGCTGCAAGAGTATCTCGTCACTTGACACAGCACTCCAAACCACAGCTGCAAGGATGAACTGACTTATTCTGGGTGTGTGCAGTGTTTGTCCCCGTAACTCTGGGCGGGGCAGGAGGGGGGGGGAGGGCAAAGTTACCCTCACAGGTGTCAGCAGTCACTTACCTGCCCAACTTGAAAAATGATCCACATCCAGGGGTGGCATTTTGGGCTCTCAAGCTAAGATGATCCAGCTCCCCAGAGTGGTAGAAGGCTCTGCAAAGTTCTGTCCCAGGCTGCCACCACCCAGACGGGACAGGGACACCCAAGCTCTGAGGGTTTCTTAGGTGTGCCTAGAACCACCCTCCAGTTGCAGAGGCAATAGAATATTCTGCATGTGAACAGGCACCGGAGTCAGAGAGAAGAAACGCTTCCTTTAGACTGGAGGAAATCTGCCTCGCCCTTCTGAATTTTCCTTTGTACATAAAGTATTCAAACAAGCCCTGCTCTTAAACATGGTCAACTGGATTCTCACCCAAATATTAGCTGGCTTCGTGGTGGCCAGGCCTCCTTTGTGGAGGTTGGCAGAAAATGTGTTGTTTCTGGGGGAAAAAAAAAGAGCAAAAACATAGGGCCAGCGCTGTGGTGCAGCGGGTTAAAGCCCTGGCCTGAAGTGCCGGCATCCCATATGGGCACCGGTTCCAGTCCTGGCTGCTCCTCTTCTGATCCAGCTCTCTGCTATGGCCTGGGAAAACAGTGGAAGATGGCCCAAGTGCTTGGGCCCCTGCACCCATGTGGGAGACCCAGAAGAAGCTCCTGGATCCTAGCTTTGGATTGGTGCAGCTCTGGCTGTTGCGGCCATCTGGGGAGTGAACCAGCAATGGAAGACCTCTCTCTGTTTCTACCTCTCTCTGTAATTCTGTCTTCCAAATAAATAAAAAATAAATCTCTAAAAATATACATAAATATTCCTAATGGAAGTTCTGTTCTTTAAAAAAAGGGGGGGCTCTTAGCACCAGTGTTTCGCATCCTGGGCTCCTATATACTCAGAGCTTAAGGCTGCAGCAGGTAACTGGCCCGAGATGTGAAACACAGTCAGCAGTGAGGAGCCGTTAGCAGCAGAAGTGTTGCCCAAACTACTGGGAAGCTGAACACACACCTTATCTCCAGCTTCTGCAGTCTGCAGAGCCATGAGTAGACACCAAGGGCCAGGGGTGGCCTCGCTGGCTGGTGATGCAAACACAAAAGCCCCTGTCCATGCGCCCAGGTGACATTCTGTCCCCTGGAAAGAAAACAGGTGCTCAGCATCCACTGCACTGTGGCCACACATCAGACTGGTGACGGTAACAACCAGTGTTTGCCAAGTGACCCGGCTGCTCCTTGCCAAGGACTACAGGAAGTATCACGCAATCTGACAAAGCCCAATGGGAAGGCATCCACAGCAGCAGTAAGTTAGGTTTCACAGCGACTCGGGGCAGAGCCTTCCTTTTTTTTTTTTTTTTAAGCTTTACTTATTTACCTTGAAAGGCAGAGTTGCAGGCAGAGGGAGGGAGAGAGGTCTTCCATCCGCTGATTCACCCCTCCAAATGGCTGCAACAGCCAGAGTGGGGTCTATCCAAAGCCAGGAGCCAGGAGCTTCTTCGGGGTCTGCCATGCGGGTGCAGGGGTCCAAGAACTTGGGCCACCTTCCTCTGCTTTCCCAGGCCATCATTAGGGAGCTGGATCAGAAGCGGAGCTGGATCAGGACTTGAACCCTCACCCACACGGGATGCCAGTGCTGTAGGCTGATACTTAACCTACTCTGCCACAGTGCCGGCAACTCCCTCTCACTTCTGATGGAACTTCATTGGTAATGAACACATCTTACACTCTCTCTGTTCCAAGCAATCAAACACAAAATAACAGGCATCCATTCAGCCCAGTGGTTACTGCTGTGTTCCGTGTTGAAGGACCTGGGTTTGGTTCAGTACCTGCCCCCAGCTTCCTGCTAATGTAGACCCTGGGAAGTAGTGGTGATGGCTCAAGTGTCGAGAGTGCTTTGCCATTAGCTGGTGCCGCGGCTCAATAGGCTAATCCTCCACCTTGCGGCGCCGGCACACCGGGTTCTAGTCCCGGTCAGGGCACCGGATTCTGTCCCGGTTGCCCCTCTTCCAGGCCAGCTCTCTGCTGTGGCCCGGGAAGGCAGTGGAGGATGGCCCAAGTGCGTGGGCCCTGCATCCCATGGGAGACCAGGAGAAGCACCTGGCTCCTGACTTCGAATCAGAGCGGTGCGCCGGCCACAGTGCGCCAGCCGTGGCGGCCACTGGAGGGTGAACCAACGGCAAAAGGAAGACCTTTCTCTCTGTCTCTCACTATCCACTCTGCCTGTCCAAAAAAAAAAAAAAAAAAAAAAAAAAAAAGAGTGCTTTGCCATTAAACAGGGAAACCTGGATTGATTTCCCAGCTCCCCATATTAGCTAAGCCAACCCGGGCTGTTACGGGTATTTGGGGATAGAACTAGTGAAAGGGAACTCTCTCTCACTCTTTCTCTTCTTTCTCTCGAATAAATAATTTCACAAAAAAAAAAAACCTTTTAAGACCATCAGCAGGGAGCAAACTACTAAACCTGATGTTTGCTGTTTTATTCCCGGCAGAGAAGCTGAAGGAAGGAATTCCTTGAACAGTGGAGCTGGCTGAACTGACAGCCTATTCCCATGCATGTGTGCATGTCATGTGGGACGAACCAGTGACAGCAGGAAGCCCTAGCCCTTGGGCCACCGGTGGATGGCCCCAGTAGCTATCAGGAGTTTCTGGCAACGGAACACTGAAGCATCAGAAATCTGAAGTTTGCAAGGAGGAAGTTCCAGAGAAAAGAAAGCTGACACATTTTGTGTTACATAATTTTATTTACACAACTGAAATTGTTTTCTTAGTCACCTTGATTACAAAAAAAACCAAGTGAACAGGGTATGATTGAATACCTTTGCATAATGGGTTTTACAAATTTCAGTAACTGGTTACTACTTAACACTCAGTAATACTGGATACTTAGTCAAGTCTGCATCTACGTGGTCAGAATTTTGTCTGCTGGGACTGTTAGGATGCACACTTCTATAACTCAGGAGCAGACAACTGGACTATTAGTCAGGGGTTTGTCCCCCAACACTGGGTCAGCCGGGAAGACCCAGACTTCTCATCCCGCTGAGAATAAACCTGCCACAGCTACAAGGCACTGGAAAGGGAGAGTGCCTCTTTACGTCTGCATTTGGTAAGACTATCTTTAAGCACATCTGAACATCAAGTTCACCACGACTTCTAGACTTCTAGGTATTTGCAAAAGAATGTATCACAGTGTATCTGAAAAGTGGCTCAAACTAAAGCCGGGCTACAGGTCCAGTACACACTTTGCCAGTTGTCTTCCTGTGTGTGCACACACGTAACCCTAAGGCTCTCTCGCGTCCCCGCCCAAGCTCTCTTGGCCACCCCCAAACGCCAGATTGCACTGCCTTTGTGAAACACCCACGAAGTACAGTATTTTCAACAAGACTCTCAGGAGTCCTATCACAGCGCTTGAAGTCTGAGGATCAGGCCGTGTCTTAGTAACCACCCCTTTCCTGCAGTGACAAGGCTCAGCCGGCCGCAAGAGCTGCTGGGACTTCCCAAGAGCCACACAGCCCCTCCCCCACAAGGCAGCGAATGCATGTGGCCACAGTGAAGAAGCTTCCGTAGGCGGCACGGTCACAAATCTAAGCAACAGACCACGCCCTGCTTATAGCAGCATCAAATGAGAAACACAGGGAGAGCCGACCCGTGAGCTTGTGGCGGGAGCTCTACAAGAGCCAAACGCGGTCTCTTCATTCCAGAATGTGCCCAGAGGGAGGGGCCCGGCCCGGGCCACTGCCAGGGCTACTTGGAACACAGCCAGATCTGTCCCTTTAGGGCTAAGTGGCTACCGCACCAAGCCGAGTGAACAGGGGCCCCACCAGCTCCCAGCACGCAATCCGAGCTGCAGTTGCTTTCTTGGTGCAGGGGCAGGCCGGTGGTGGGTGGGGACAGCAGAGGCCTGTGCTGTCAGTGGTCCTGGGACTGGAGACCACTGCAACTCCAGACACTCCCTTTTCTTCATCCGGTTCTGGTCACTCGGGACTGAACACGCGAGGGTGGTGCAGCGGGCCCAGGACGGGTAGACGGGTCTTGCGAGCCCTCTTCCCCCACGCCGCTGCTACCTGCGAGCCCTCTTCCCCCAAGGCCGCTGCTACCGACATAGCAAGCGACTCTCTCTCCATTGTGCTAAATCTAAGAACCATTGGTATTGAGATATAATGACTAAACGTCTTTCTAAGAGAAGGTTACATGGTTTCAACAACAAAACAAAAACAGAACCTTCTCGGGACCTCAAATGCTGAACCGCGGCCCCAGCCCCCCACCCCATCCTGAGACCCCCACATCCCCTCCAGCCCTGGCAGGAGGAAGACTGTGACACCACCACCCAGCCCCATACCGGGCTCTCAGCCTGAACAGGGACGGGTCACTCTGGCCCCACTGCGTCCCTCCTGCCTCGTGTGTACAGGTGTGTATGTGTGTGCATGTGTGCTTGTGTGCTTCATGTTTAATCCTTGTTGCTCTGTTTGGCGGCAACCATAAAAAGCAGACAGTTCAGGTACAATCACTTATACAAGGTAGTGGCAGACCCACGAGGGGGACACAGAGCACACGGCAGTCACAGAGGGTCACACACCGACAGGGCGCTGAGAAGGGACTGCTCAGCCACGGAGTCTCGGGACCCTCGTCCCAGTGGGGGGACGTGGTCTGGTGCGGGGGAAAAGTCACCGGCTTACTGGGGTCAAAACCGCTTGGGGGGACCAGTGACCACCAACTACCGGGAACGAGTCTGCCACCTTGGCAACTGAACTTGGCTTGGCCAGTGTGATGTGCACCAAAGGAGCCGGTGCTGGTGGCTTCCCACGCTTGGCCTGTTTCTTCCCCCTGGCGAGTCCGTTACCTTTCCCAAAGGAATGTTAACTATCAAAGGAGTCCGTTAGTTTTGCCGCTGAGGGTGAAACCATCCAGTTAGCATATACACTATCATTTGCATATCTTGGGAACCCAGGGTTAGTGCCATCAGTTCTCGTGAGTGGTACAGGACTCTCTCCGGGCCAGCTCGGGTCTGACATGCCTAAAAATGAAAACACATCATTCGCTCTGCACCGAAGACCCCGCGTTTCACGTGTAGACAGCAAGGCCTTGGCAAAACTCCCTTAGGGGCTCAAACCGAACTCGCGGGTCCCGGGACCATTGCTCCGGGTTCCCAAGTAGCACGTGATTTTGACTTTCAGGAGCTTCCATCTCAAATCAGATGCGGATTGGAACTGTATAATGTATATATATATACATATATATATTTTTTTTCTCAACAGCTTAGGGCAGTGGGAACGCTCTCTAGAATGTTCTCTGACTCAAAGGAGCCTACTCGCCGCTCGTCCAGGCCGACACCGGAGGAGAGGACCTTCCCCACTGAGGGCGCATGCAGGCCAACCCTGCAGGGTTGTGGGCACTCAGGCAGTGAGTCAGGAGGCTATGCGGGAGGAACACTCTTGAGACATGGCTCGCGACGCCGAGATCTCAAAACGGACCGGGAGGGGAGTTAGGAAACAGGAGAAATGGCAAGGACTTCATCGAAGACGAAAGCAGGAGTTTTGGCAAGAACCGGTATTTACTGTCCATCGCAACACCACGGCACCACAGACCAGCTCTTAGCACTGGCTTCATGAGTGACAACAGTCAAAGACGTGGGGAAGGCAAAGGATGTGAAAACAGCCGTGCGGGGGCGCCCTCCCACTGCCTCCTGCGGCTGGGGGTGGCAGTGGGGCTGCCTGCTGGTCCCACAGGTGCCCCTGGGGCCCCCCAGTGCAGGCTGGGGACACTGGCTGCTCCCTCCTGCATCAGCAGGGCCACTGCCTGCTTCCCACCCCATATGGGACATTCCTGTGGTTTTTCTCAACCTCCCCTGAGTGCTCTGGCCCCATCTCTCTCCCTCCCTCTCTCCCACCTTTCTCTCCTCATGGCAATGAGGCTTATTTTCACATCCTTTTGGAAAAACAGAGTTGCAAAAATGCCCAAGTGTAAACTGGGTGCAGAGTCAAGACACTTACAAATGAAAAGGGTTGAGAGCGGGCTTTGGTTTCGTTGAGATCAGAAACACTCTTAGGAAAGCGTTACAGACAGCAGAGGGAGGGCAGAGGGCGACAGTGCTGCTAGAATCTAGTAAAGGCATGTGAAATTCTACCATAGAGTTTGTTTTCAATCCATGTGGAAGGAAGGGCGCGAGGGAGGGGAGCATTATTACAGTCCACCAGGGGTGTCTCTTCTTCCGAGAGACCATCCTCATAAAGCAGCGAGTCGGACGGCGTGGACGCGGCCAGGTCTAGGTAGTCCTGGAAGACAGAGTGGACCGGTCATCACTGCCCGCGGCGGGGGCAGGGGTCCTGGCTGTGTCCTCACTCACTCCCGTGCCACGCCCCCGCCTCCGTGCCCTTAGTACTGACACACTCCTGTCTGCCACACTCCCCACTGTCCCCTACTCACTGCCCACTCCCAGCCAGGCCCCTCGGAGCATCTGAGTTTAGGACACTTGCTCCACCTCTACTTTCTCACGCTCAGTTGTTAAAACCGACTTCCTGTGGCTCTGGAATATCTTCCTCCCATACTTGTCTGTGCAGAGCTCATAAGCGTCCAGCTCACCGACTGGAAAAGATGCCCCAGGGCCTGGCTCGAGGTGCGAGGGGGCCAGCGCGGCCACTCCTCCTGCATGGCTCTGCTTTGGGAATGCAGAGAGCCCAGAACCATCGCCCCGGGGTGGGGCTGGGGGACCCTCCCCAAGTTCCACCTGCGCGACTCGGTCCAGGCACTCACTCTGCTCTTAACCATCATCTTCTCCAGGTCTTTGCTGATGTCGGCAAACACCGGCCTCTTGTCCGGTTCTTGCTTCCAGCATTGCAGCATCAGGCGGTACCTGGCAGAGAGAGCACAGGGAGGTTACAGCTCCACGGGCCGAGCGCCACGGCCACCGTACCCGTTACAGCTCCATGGGCCGAGCGCCACGGCCACCACACCCATTACAGCTCCACGGGCCGAGCGCCACGGCCACCACACCCGTTACAGCTCCATGGGCTGAGCGCCACAGCCACCACACCCATTACAGCTCCACGGGCTGAGCGCCACGGCCACCACACCTAGCACGGCACCATGGGCCCAGGGGCTCCATCCTCAAACCCCAAGGCTGTTCCTGCGTCTCTGACAACTTCCCCCAGGGCACTGGCAGCGGGCACACCCACCCCCCTGTAGGACCCAGACCACTTCCGGGACCCTAGAGGCTCGCCTTGCCTCTGGGACATTTATTCTCTGTCCCCTTGTCCAGACCCTGGGGGACCAGCCCACTGTACCCTGCCAAACACGATGGTGGGTGGGGCCAAAAGCGCCAGTTCTCAAAAATCCCAGCAGGAGCCAATCAGGGACTTCCAGGCATGGGAACATGACCTTGTGCAATCAAACACACTCTGCCTTGCACCCTCCTCAGCCCTGCAGTGGCCAGGCACAGCCGCAGGGTTCCAGGCCTTGATGTGGCTGCTGCTGGCTCAGGTGCACAGCAGGCGTGGCCCTGCAAGCTCCACCCTGCCCTGAGCCGAGCATAGACTCTGGGATGAATGCAGCAGAGCCTCTGTCTCTGGCTGGTCTCTTCTCATCTGTCCTCAGCCGAGACCCAGGTACAAGGTATGAAATACGAGGGCTATGGTACCAGTGGGCTCATGTCCAGGCTGCCTCTCATGTCCGCTGCTACCTGGCTACTCCCCAGATACACACCCCAGACCATTAAGAGTCATCTGCCCCTTCCTGATGACCCATGGAGGCTGTGAGCTCCAGCACCTGCTCCCATTCTTATAAATTCCTCAGGGAAGCATACCAGCCCCCAGTAGCATCTTCCAACACACCCAAGGGGCTGCGTGCCCTCTGCTCTGTCACTCACACTGCTTGGCTCCCGAGGGTGCCCAGGAGGGGCAGGTGGATTGGGTGCCCACATCCCCTCCCCTGCAGAGCCCCCTCTGTCGGTGCTGGAAGGAGGCCGTGCAAGAGCAAACCACGCTCACATTTCTTCGCTGCAGTTGTCCGGCCTCTCCATCCGGTGGCCGGTCTTTAGAAGGTTGAAGAGCCGCTCAGGAGGAATCCCGGGGTAGGGGTTGCCCCCCAGGGTCACGATCTCCCACAGCAGGACACCAAAGGACCACCTGCAGCAAGCAAGCAGATGTGTGAGTGGTCCCACCAGGGCAGAGAGAGGAGGGAGCCCACACACCCAGACCCACAGCTGGCTGCCCCATCAGCTCTGGGTATGGGTCTCAGCCTCCGGTCCTGCCTGCACACACGGCTGCTGGTTGTGGTGTGTGTGTGTGTGTGTGTGTGTGTGTGACTGACTGGCCCTCGAAGTCTCTGCCCAAGCTGCTGCCATGGGAACAGCCACACCCACAAGGGGGACTTGTGCCTGGACCTGATGAGGCTAGAACCCAGCTGATGTGCCCTGCATGGGGTGGGGATGGGGGCTGCACCATCCTTTGGCTTCCTCTGTGCACTTAAGACATTCTTGTGGGGCCAGTGCTGTGGTGCGGTAGGTTAATCCTCCACCTGCAGTGCCAGCATCCCATATGGGCACTGGTTCTAGCCCCGGCTGCTCCTCTTCCGATCCACCTCTCTGCTATGGCCTGGGAAAGCAGTAGAGGATGGCCCAAGTGCTTGGGCCCCTGCACCCATGTGGGAGACCCGGAAGAAGCTCCTGGCTCCTGAGTCCTGGCTTCGTATCAGTGCAGCTCTGGCCACTGCGTTCAGCTGGGGAGTGAACCAACAGAAGGAAGACCTTTCTCTCTGTCTCTTCCTCTCGCTGTCTGTAACTCTACCTCTCAAATAAATAAATAAAATCTTTTTTAAAAAAGACATTCTTGTAAGTCTATAAAAAAAAACCACTTAACTGGGAGAGAAGTGAAGTGGGAACACTCTTATCACAGAACGGCATGGATCGCACAAACCCACTTATGGTCGTAAATCATACATAAATGCACACCACATAAGACCACACAAGACACCTGCAAGGCCAGCACGGGGACAGGGAGTATGACCCAGCACCAGTTTGAGTCCCGGCTGCTCTGCTTCCAATCCAGCTCCCTAATGGCCTGTGAAAGCAGCAGAAGGTGGCCCAAGTACTTGGGTCCCTACCACCCATGTGGGTGACCTGGTGGAGCTTTGGGCTCCTGGCTTCAGCCTGGACAAGCCCCAGCCATTGAGGCCATTTAGGGAGTGAACCAGTGGATGGAAGAGCTCTGTCTCTCTCTGTCTCTCCTTCTCTCTCTCTCTGTTGCTCTGTCTTTCAAAATAAAGAAATAAATCTTTTTAAGGAAGTGCATTTTCCCAGTCTGCCTGTGTTACGTGTGCTTGTCTGGGACCACAGAACACTTTGGAGCGCATGTGTTGTGTCTGTAAAGATGGCCACCAGACCTTGGATTTGACCCGGATGAATACATTCTGGCTCCCCGCTTTGAGGACTGTGGAGCATAAACTCACTCTGCAAACAGAGACTCAGCCACAGGTGCCCTGCCTGAGCCGAGGACCCACAGGAGGGAAACGGGCCAGGCCATCCAGACACATGGGAGGGACGGACTGGGGGATCTGGCCACCCATCTCTTCTCATGCACTGCCCTGTTGGGGCCAGGCCTTGCACCATGGATGAATGGAGGCCCCTCAGCTCGGGGCTCACAGGGATGCTGGCATTGCACAAAGGGGTTCAGGGCGAGCACTTGTACCCTGGCTAAGCTACACAGATGTAGGCCCCCCTCCCCCGGGAACGCAGCGCCCACACTCACACATCACTTTGGGTGGTGTAGATATGATCAAAAAGGGACTCGATTGCCATCCACTTAACTGGAATCCGACCCTGAATGGGGGTTGAAAGAAAGGCATCCGTGTCACTCTGATGTCCTGGGAGCCAGGGTGGAGGCTGAGCTGGGGCCCTAGTGAGCCGGAGACACTCCCGATGCCAACGACACTAAATCATGGCTTTGCGGGCTCATGTGGCTTGTGGCTGCTTTCTGTAAGAAGCAGTGTTTTCCGGCCCGCAAATCTTAAGGCGCCCATCAACTTGAAATCACGCACATCTTGGGCATTAAGCCAACACTGATTCCTCTCCTTTAAGAGTGTTCCTTAGGATTTTTGCGCTTGGAGCCTGTGACAGTGCCTGCCAGCCTGTGCCCTGGGGCGGGAGGCACAGCAGCCCTGGAGTGCGGGGGCCTGGCACCTGTCCACTGTGCCCACCACCAAGGGCCACTCTGGAGGACCTGGCGTCCCACGTCCCCGCCAGCAGTTCTGAGACTGCCCTCACAGCACAGACTACAGAGCAATCAAAATGTCATCCACACACAGTGGCCGCGGCAGCTCGCTGTCCCTAGGGGGCAAGCTGCATCACTGGAAGCTGCTTTTTCTGCCTTTTGGGGGGGGGGGGGCGGGGAGGCAGGGTCTGCTCTGAATGTGCGGCCAGTGGGACCTTTGAGAGGCTGAGGTGGTGACCGAACCGAGTGAGTCAAGGTAGGACAACACTGGGGAAGTCCCCTGTGCCTAGTTTCATGGCCTTGGAGGAGGCTCCCGCGACCCCCAAGCCTCATTCTGGACCTATCTCCAGGGACTCCTGTGCACTGAGGTCTAGGGGTCCCAGTCCTGGCCGGAAACCCCTACTTGCAAAGCAAGTCATTCTTTCCTCCAACGAACGTTCATCTAGTCTAGTCCATCTGCCCTCCCCGGAGCAAAGAGCTGTGGGGACCCAGGGCAACAGCGCCCCCTTCCTCACAAGGACGCGAGAGGAACAGCCCCAAGAGCGGGTGTTATTTCTCCAGCGTTTGTTAGGTGGCAACAGCGACAGTGCCAGCACCCCCCCACCAGGGCCCCCAGGACGGCAGGAAGAGTTGCAGAAGGCACCCGAGCGGCCCCCAGGGACGCAGTATTGAGGAAGATGTAGGGCCAAGGGCCAGGGCGAGTTAAAACCCACACTGGGCTTTCTTTTTCCAGATGTTCTATGCACCCCTCCCTCCCCCCCACTGCCCAGCAGGTGCGGGCCGTGCAGCCGGGGACCCGGTACCTTGCTCCTCTTCACGTAGGAATCCTCTTCATAAACATCTCGGGACAGCCCAAAATCCGAGATCTTCATCTTTCGCCCCTCAGCCACCAGGATGTTTCTGGCGGCCAGGTCCCGATGGACCAGCTGCGACGGAGGAGACAGGAGGGATCCTTAGTCCAGGGCCCCAGGCAGGGCGGGGGTGGGGGTGGGGGCAGCCAGCTCCTGCGGCACCCACCTTCATCTCGGCCAGGTACTGCATCCCCCGTGAGATCTGCCAGGCGAAGGAGATGAGGTCGCCCATGGTCAGGGCCCGCTCGTCCGGGTGGTCCAGGGAGCCCGAGTTGCGGCCGCCTCCGCCGCTCACGTAGCCCGGCCCCACCTTGCGGCTGTCCCGCAGGAAGCCACGCAGGGAGCCGTACTTGGCGTACTCCACGATCAGGAGCAGTGGCCCTGGGGGGCACAGACAGGGGCTGGCTTTGGGTTTCCGGGGTGTGGGGGCACCGAGAGGGCTGGGTGGGCTTTCCTGCTCCTTCAGCCCCGCACAGGTCCAGCCGTTCTGCCTGGACCCTGGCCTGGCTCGGCAGGAACCAAACGCTCAGTATCCATCAGCCCCCCAGGGAGCTTCCTGGGGCTGCAGCCTTGCTCTAGGCCCAGCCCCAAAGCCCTGGTGCTGACCAGGGTGCCTACAGCTGACAGCCCAGGCCTCCAGGAGGCGGGAGAACGTGGGAGAGGGCAGGGCATAGGGAGAGGGTGGCGGCAGCTGCCGGGGACCCCACATCCCACCCCGCCGCGGCTGCTTTACCATCCTGGCTGCAGGCCCCGTGCAGCTTGATGACATGGGGGTGGTTCACCTGCTTCAGCAGGTTGAACTCGGACAGGAGGTCCCGCAGCTCGCTGGGGGAGGCGTTCTCTGAAACGCAGCACAAACATCGCGTCGCCAAGGGGCCCCGTGGGGAGCTCCTCTCCTGGCCGGAAACACACCCGCCACCCCCTGGATTGATTGCTGCCTGGCTAGCTGAGCACCTGGAGGTCCCCGGCTGCAGTGGGCCCCTGCCTGCCTGTCTGCCCCGGGAACAGGTGTCCATATCACATCCGGGGAGGGGGGGTTGCATCCGGGCATCCTAGACACGCCCCTCCTTCAGCCTTCTAGACAGGTGAGGGGACCACACCCTGCCAATCCTGCATACCCGCCTGGGGGACGAGCCCTGGGGACCAGCTCTGGGAGGGGGCTCCCACTCCTATTCCTAGGGACCGGCAGCTCACCCTTGGCTGCCACGGAACCTGGCTCATGCCCAAGGTAAACCATTCTGCTTCAACCCAGACATTGGCTTGGGACTTCAGGAGGAACAAACACCCCCAGTCCCGTGAGAGTCTGAGAGGCCTGTGAAAGGGGCTGTCCAGCACACACGTCCTAGGGCGGCCAGAGCTGTGCCTGGGCTCCCCACCATGTGCCAGCACCCGAAGGTTTTCTGAGAGTCAGAGAATACGGCTGAAAAAAAATCACTCCTGGGTCACTGCCCCACCTGCCGGACATCTGCCTATGCCAGCTGCCGCCTCCCTCCTGCGGGCTTGTCTGGCAGGGAGACGATGGCTGGGAGACAGGGCACTGGGTACTGCCCCAGGGTCTTACTGTGCTCTGTTAGGACCTGGGAAAGCAGCCAGAAGCACCCTGCACTGTGCAGCCCCTACTGGAATGACCAAGTGACCCGTGCTCACTGCCACATTAGAAGTACTGAGCCTGGGGCCGGTGCTGTGGCGTAGCGGGTAAAGCCATGGCCTGCAGTGCCAGCATCCCATATAGACGCCGGTTCCAGACCTGGCTGTGCTCTACTTCCCATCCAGCTCTCTGCTGTGGCCTGGGAAAGCAGTGGAAGATGGCCCAAGTCCTTGGGCTCCTGCACCCACGAGGGAGACCCAGAAGAAGCTCCTGGTTCCTGGCTTCGGATAGGCCCAGTTCCGCCAGTTGCGGCCACTTGGGGAGTGAACCAGCAGACGGAAGACCTCTCTCTCTCTGTCTCTCTTTGCCTCTGCCTATCCTCTTTCTGTGTAACTCCGATTTTCAAATAAATAACACATAAATCTAAAAAAAAAAATGAATTACTGAGCCTACCAGTGACCTGTGTTCACTGCCACACCGCCTGGCCACCACCAGGCTCTCAGTCCACCCAACTGGCCTGGGCTGTGGCCCGGGATGGCTTGCCTGGTGTAGCCCAGAGACATATGTTCACTGGCAGGCAGGCTGGCACGCCCACCGAGAGCCAGGCTCCAGCGTGAACAGCCAGACTCACAGGACGCCTGGGTGCATGTGTGTGTGGGGGGCACTCCTTCCAGGGCACCTCTGCCAGGGCACCAGTGGACACTGTCTGGGAACTGGCAGCCCACAGGGGTTTTGAAAAGCACCAATGCCACGCAGCGGCGACACCACCAGTGGAAAGCCACATCTTGCCGTGGCTCAGATCCCTGGCCCGTGCCTAGTACTGGGGACCCGCACTCAGATGCTCAAGAGCAGGGTGGGGGCAGTGCAGGTCCCACGGAGGTAGCTGGAGCTCCCCACCCCAGGCGGCTCCCACAGGTACCTTTCAGCATCTTCACAGCCACCGTGGTGTACCCGGCTCTGCCCTTCAGACGGAAGGCTGTCGCCTTGACCACTTTTCCAAACTCGCCTTCTCCCAGGGTCTTTCCAAGAACCAAGTTCTTCCGCGGGAATTCCCACTTTGGATCCTCCTGCGTCGTGGGGGAAGGCAGACGTGGGGGAAGGCAGACGTGGGGGAAGGCAGAAACAACTGAGGGAAGGAGGCCAGACCCATCCACGAGCCCAGGCTGGGCTCAACGTCCTCACTCTCATGGCCACTACACGTGGCCTGGCCACTCTGGGTCCATGACCCTGTCTCTCAGGTGAGAGTTCAAGGCATCCAAGGGTGTTGGTAAGACTTGCTTGTGCTTTGGGTACCCAGGTCCCAGCAAAGAAAGGGGCCAGCGTGCTCTTTCCAAGCCCCAAGCCCCAAGCCCCAGGCATGGATGTGGCTGCTCCTGTCCTGCAGGCCCAGTTTGCCACACCCCTGCCCAGGCTCTGGCTGTCCCTCCCATGGCCACTGCTCATCCTGCAGGCCCAGTTTGCCACACCCCTGCCCAGGCCCTGGCTGTCCCTCCCGTGGCCGCTGCTCATCCTGCAGGTCCAGTTTGCCACACCCCTGCCCAGGCCCTGGCTGTCCCTCCTGTGGCCACTGCTCATCCTGCAGGCCCAGTTTGCCACACCCCTGCCCAGGCCCTGGCTGTCCCTCCTGTGGCCGCTGCTCATCCTGCAGGTCCAGTTTGCCACACCCCTGCCCAGGCCCTGACTGTCCCTCCTGTGGCTGCTGCTCATCCTGCAGGTCCAGTTTGCCACACCCCTGCCCAGGCCCTGGCTGTCCCTCCCATGGCCGCTGCTCGTCCTGCCCAGGGCCTGGCTGTCCCTCCCGTGGCTGCTGCTCATCCTGCAGGTCCAGTTTGCCACACCCCTGCCCAGGCCCTGGCTGTCCCTCCCATGGCCGCTGCTCGTCCTGCCCAGGGCCTGGCTGTCCCTCCCGTGGCTGCTGCTTGTCCTGCCCAGGCCCTGGCTGTCCCTGGTCACCACAGCCCTGCTCCTCTGGCTGCCCTTCCACCCCCGGCCCCAGACCCTCCTGTCAAAGTCCCACTCACACCATCAGGCCCACTCACGGCCTCTCTGTATGCTTTCCCAGACCCTAGCCTGGGCCCTGTGTACTTGAACTCTGACCAGGGCTGCCCAAGGCCAACAGAAGCCCTTCCCTCCTAGATCTGCACGCGAGATCCATCAGTTGGGCAGCCCTGGAACCCCCCATGGACACCACAGGCTGCACTGTGCACGTGTGGGTGGCCCTAGCTCAACCCTCTTAAATCAAGGAAATACTTCCATTTAAGACAGGGGTGGAACACGTGACTCACGTGTCCTAGACCTGGTACACTAGGAAGTGCGGCCCGAGGGTGTCAGGCTGGATCCTACGCAGGGGAGCCTCGGCCAGCCCCGCAACCCTGCTGGGTTTGTGAAGGGTTCGTCCTAGAGACCCTCAGGGAGGCTGAGCTGCGTTGGGGACTGCACCACAGATTCCAAGAGCCCGGGGGACAGACGTGGCAGTGGCCATGTCTTGGGAAGGGCTGCTTGGCCCAGAAGCTGACCACAGGGCTGGGTGGCATCCAAACCAAGCCCCAGCGCTGAGGCCGCCATGCGGGGTGTGGCACCTCCTAGGAATCCCAGCCCTTCCCTGCCAGGCTGAGATGGGAAGCAGGCCTCTGAGCCTCTGTCCCCAGGCCCGCCCCTTGGCTTGGGTCCTCCCTGGGCACACACACACACACCCTTAGCTCTGTGCACTAGGCTTCCAGCTCCTGGGACAGATGCCCAAGGGGCAGGCACAAAGGACAAGAGAGGGCAGAGGCGTACACGGCAGGCCTAGGGAATGCCTAGCTGACACACGTTGACCTGTGGGCCAAGAACATAGGTGACAGGTGGCCACGGAGCTGTGACTCTCCCTCCATGCCCTGTGGGACTCTCCACCCCTGACCTGCTGCTGCCGCCCTGGCCAAGCCCCAGCCCTGCCTGTGTGGAGGCAGCAGCTCCTGCTTCCACCGAACCCCCACACACCCAGAATACACTCTTGAGGGGTCCCCCAAGGATGCGGTCTCCCCAAGCCCTCGGGGCCTCTGCACGCATCCCCCTACCCCTCCCACAGGCAGAGCCTGGGTCTCCCTCCCTCGCTCTGGGCACTCGGGGGTCTTTCTGGCGCCAGGCATGTGGTGGGCTGTTGCAATGCAGTCAAGGTGGCAGGCAGCCTGGGGTGCCCCTCCCCGTAGCCCCCCGGCCCCCCAGAGACCCCTACCGGGATCTTGAAGGCATCCACGGAGACCTGGTTCTCCATGGAGTCGAGCGAGGGCCGGCGGGCCCCGGACGAGGAGTAGCTGACCGGGAAGGCCTGGGCGGGCCTGCAGAAGGTCATCTCGGCCGAGGCGATGGGCGGCTTGTGCGCATGCTTGTGGTAGCGGTGGATGCAGAAGGTGGAGAGCAGGACCGAGACGATGAAGGAGAAGAGCACGGCGGCGGCGATCACCGTGCGGCACAGCTCGTCACACAGCGGGCCTGCGGCGGGGCACGGCGGGGGTGGGGCTCAGCAGTCTGGCATGGGTGCCACTGCCGGGGAGGCCCCCAGCCAGCACTGCGCTCCCACACGAAGATGGAGGCTACACGGCACAGGGCCCAGCGCCAGCTAACAACTCAGATGCCAGCCAAGTTCCTGGGCCAGGGCAGGGAAGGTTTCCCTAGCGTGGTCCGTGTGGCCCAAAGCACCTGCTGCTGCCCGGGACCTGGGACTGGAGGCTCTGGCTGGGACCCCGGGGCCACTCATCGCTCACCTTCAGGGTGACCAGTGGCTTAAGGAGACACTTTCTCAGGGCCCAGGATAGGAGCTGAGGCTCGGGGCAGGGGCGGGGGTTGAGAGGGGTCTTACGGAGGAGGGGGGCACCCCAGTCCGGCCTGACCCGCTCACCCTGGCTGTCCTCCGGCTCACAGAAACACTTCTTCTCCTCTGGGAAGCAGTTGCAGATTCCGTAGCCAGCTCTGATCCCCCGGCGCTCCCCGGGCTCATGTCCCCCAACGATGCTCCCCCCTGAGGATGCACCCAGCCCCCTCAGCCTCCCGGGGTGGCCTGAGAGAGCCCCCTCCCCACCTGACATCGGCCAGCTCAGGCCCAAGGGAGGGCAGCAGTGACCTCAAAGGCCCGGCTCACTGGGCAGGGGTCGCAGCTGTGACCCCCTCCCCCAGGGGAAGGGCTGGTTCCCTGGCTATGGTGGAGGGAACCCACAGTTGGCCCAGGCCCCCTGCTCAGGTCCCCGGATGTACCATCCACGGGTCCTGTCTCGGCTGCAGGGGAGAGGCAGTGCAGGGGCAGAGGGGAAGGGTGGCTCCGAGTGGGCAAGCCACGTGCATGGGGCCTGTGTCCTGGGAGTATTCCCCAGAGAGTGGTGGGGACAGGGTGCCACGCCCTGGTTTTGGGGTGGGGCAAATGCAAACATTAGGAGGCTGGCGACACAGTATCCCTGGCTCAAGCAGGGAGCTAGAGTCCCTGTAGCCGGCAAACAGCCCCAGCCCCCACCACCGTGCCCTCACTCCACCCCCAGTCCCTACCCACTGCATGCCACCCCTGCAGGCCACGGCGCGGCTTACGGAGGCAGTCCTGGGGGCAGATGTTCGGGTCTCTGCTCTCCACGGTGTCACAGTGGCCGTCGGGGCAGGTCTTGGTGCTGGGGGAGCAGGTGGAGAAATTCCTGCTGATCCCTGCAATAGGACACACAGCGGCCATCAGCCTGCTTGGAACCCTCCTCCCCCAACACACACACAGCGTGGGGGGGGGCACAGCCGCCTTCCCAGGGGAGTGCAGAGAGCTAGAGGGTCCCAAGTGCCCAGGCAGCCACAGCAGTGTGAGCTGAAGAGCCCACAGGTAAGCGCCAGCCCGGTGGTGGCAGGGGCACCCACGCTGGCTTCTGGCTGAGGCAGACCTCGGGCCCCATCGACAGGAAGACCCACTCCAGCCCCTGCACACTCCAACTTCAGCCCAGGCCTTCCAGAGCCCAGAGCGACTCCAGCCCGGGGAACCTCTGGGTAGAAGGCCCTGTCTCTGGTCTCCCCCCTCCCCCGGCCCCAACATCGTGAGCCACCTCCCGCAGCCCTCACCCTGCACTGGGCCGCCACAGGTTTCCCCCAGCCTCGGCAAAGCCTACCTTTGCCGTCGCCTTGCCGCCATTCGCACCTGCCCGTCGGGGAGCCCAGGCCACCGCACTCCTCACACTCGGGCCGCCTCTTGCTGACTGCACAGGACAGGGGGCAGCCTGCCTCCTCGGCCACGTCTGGGGTGGTACATTAGCAGGGTCACGGGGGGCCAGCCAAGGAGCAAGGCCAGGGGGCTGGGGGTGATCCAGGGCACGGGACAGGGCTCGGGGCAGCTCCTGGCGGGGTGTGTGTGTGTGTGAGGGCAGCCAGCCTTGGCACGGGGCACACAAGACACTCAGTTCCAAGACGGGCACCTGTTGCATGCATGGATGCACTGGCTGGTCTCCCCAGATACCCTACCATAGCTGCCTGGGGATGTACTTCTAGGATTCCAGGGTCCGTTATCCAAAATGTGTAGGATTTGCACTTGGAGGACTTCTGCACCTACCCAGTGAGTTCCGCGTATACCTAATGAGACACCTGGGGGATGGGACCCACGTCGGCAGCTGAGGCCCGCTGGGTGTATGCCCAGTCTGAAGGTGACTCGTACATGTCGCCTGGCCAGGTGTGGAATTCTGCACTCAGGGGCTCGGGCCAGTGCTCAGAAAGTCTGCAATTTTCGAGCATTCTGGATTTTTGCAGTTTTGGATGAGGGAGGGGCTGAGCCTCTCATGAGCCAATGAATGGCTTGTTCTTTAGCTGAAACTCAAACTTATCCAGGGCCCTCTATTTGAACCTGCACTGGCTCTAAACCAAGCACGCGCACAGGACGCGTGGATAGCGGTGACAAGGAGTGCTGGCCTTTAGCGGGCACTGCTTCTCGCTTACAGGGAAGGAGCCCTGGGGGCAGGACCGTCCCCCGCCCTGTCTCTCCAGGGAGCCCGGCACTCACACATCCCCTCCACGGTGACGAGCAGCGGGGCCTGCGCCTGCCTGCGCGTCTGCCGGTCGGTGGCCACCACAGTGTACTGGAGCTCGGCGCATTCCGGCCGCCGCAGGGGCTCCGAGGCGTTCACAAACACGGTGCCGGAGGTGTCCTCGGCCGAGGTGACCACGCCCAGGGCGCTGCAGTTGGCACCGGAGGGCTGCAGCTTGTACTGGACGTGGATCCCGCTGAACTCATGGCAGTGCTCCACGCACACCTTGCCAATCTAGGCGGGGGCACAGGGAACGGCTCAGCCAGGGAGCTGGACAGGTGTCCCGGGCTCCCCGGGAGGGCCGGTGTCCCCCAGTGGGGGCCCCAGCTCGGCCCAGGAAGGGCAGCTCCCTGCAGAACCTGAAGACCTCTCACCTGGCCCGTCCAGCCCCTCAGGCCTCCCTGCTGCTCCTGGGAGTCCCAGGTGAACGCACCACCCCCTATACTGCAGCCCAGCCACACGGCTCAAGTGGCACGGCCACCGGCCCATGTGGCACCCTGGGGGCCTCCCTGCAGCTTTGGCTGGAAGCCCTGGGAGCAAGAGGACCCTTCAGAGCCAAGCTTCAAACCAGGAGCACACCAAGTGGGCACCGCTGGGGGCCCTGCCCACAGGCCACACAGCCAGCCCTAGCTCAGCCCCCGCAGGGCCAGGGCAGAGTCAGATGCCTCCGAGCGCACACTTGATGCTAAAATGCGGGCCTCCTCACGTTCCTCTGTAAGGGGTGCTTTCCTCTTTCTCATGTGATCCTCAAAACCAGACAAGGGTGGGGCTGTTTGGCACAGCAGTGAAGACACCACTCTCCATATGGGCGGTGCCCGGGTTCCAGTCCTGCTAATGTACATCCTGGGAGACAGCAGGCGATGGTTCGAGCACTTGGGTCCCTGCCACCCACAGGAGGACACCTGGACTTAAGTTTCTGGCTCCTGGCTTCAGCCTGGCCCGGCCCCAGCTGCCGCAGGCCTTTGGGGAGTGACCCAGCGGATGGGAGATCTCCATCTGTTTCTCTCCATCTTTCAAATAAATTAAGAAAACAAAACCGTCCAAGGTTCCGGTCCTTACTTCCCAACTTAGAAGAAGACCACGGCAAGTCCAGGACCTGCCCTCTCCCGAGTCTGACACCACAGGGGCCCGCCCCCAGTGACACCTGCCCCTGTCCAGCCCAACTTCGAGAGCGTTCCAGACCCTTCTGCCACGTCACCCTCTATCCCTGACCCCTCCACGTAAATGCCAGGGATGGGCAGCAGACTTCCAAGGGTTCCTTGAGGGATGGGCGCTTGGTACAAAAATTAGCATGCCCGCATCTCATACTGGAGAGCCTGGGTTCAAATCTCGAGTCTGCTTCTGATTCCAGCTGCCCACTAATGAGCACCCGGGGAGCCTGGATGGAGTTCTGGGCCCCGGCTTCCGACTGGCCCAGCCCTGGTTGTGAGCGTTTGGTGAATGAACCAGTGGATGCAAGATCTCTCTCTTTCTCTCTCCACCTAGCAAATAAACTGAAAGCAGATAAATACAAATATTTCCATGTTTGTGGAAAGTGGAATTAAAAGGTGAGCTTATTTTGGTGAAAGAAATTTTGAAACGCAGGCATTACTTCTTTTGGGCTATGTGTTTCCATGCCCCCATTCCCAGACCCTACTTCTAAACACTCTATGAGCTCTCTAGCCAATGCACCTGCAGAAAGCAAACAGTGGAAGTGCCCCGTGCCTCTCCCAGGGCACCGCGGCTAACCGCTGCCAGTTCCCATCAGCGGAGATGCGCTTTGCACAAATGCAGTCATGTGAGACTCAACATTTGGAACATCTCGTTCCAGTCAGGACACACAGATTTATCACGTGCAGTGCAAAAAGTGTTTCTAAAGACACCAGGAAGAGGGAGGGCCAGTGCCCAGAGCTCCACCTGGGCTATTCAAAACTGCGGCATCATGGGAAAATGTCACCCACTCCCAGCCTTATGTGTCACCTGCTGACTGTCCCACCCGGGTGGCCTTCTCCAACCCCCTCCACCCTTCTCCAAGCCAGCAGCGGGCCACAGGCTCACCTGGGCGTAGCGGCGGGCCCTTCTGCTCACAGAGAAGGCGTAGGCTTCAGGCAGGTGCAGACTGACGGGCAGCACGGACACATTGAAATGCAGGAGGAGCACCCCTGTCCCGGGGCCCTGGAAGTCCGAGTCGTTGACCAGCACGGCCAGCTGCAGGGCGCGGCTCTCTGAGATGGGGATGCTCCGGTTGAGAACCAGCCCTGGGGTGGGAGGGGGCGGTGAGCACCCAGCCACGGGGGCTGGCAACCTCCTCCAAGATGCATAGGCTGGCAGGGTATGTGAGTGCGATGTGTGTATCTGTGGGGTATTTGTGCAAAGGCTGGGCATGTGGGATGTGTGTCTATGGGGTGTTTGTAGGCAGGCTATGTGTGTCTATGGGTGTTTGTGGGCAGGCTGTGTGTGTCTATGGGGTGTTTGTGGGCAGGGTGTGTGTGTCTATGGAGTGTTTATGGACAGGCTGTGTGTATCTACGGGGTGTTTGTGGGCAGGCTGTATCTATGGGTGTTTGTGGACAGGCTGTGTGTATCTATGGGTGTTTGTGGACAGGCTGTGTGTATATATGGGTGTTTGTGGACAAGCTATGTGTGTCTATGGGGTGTTTGTGGGCAGGGTGTGTGTGTCTATGGAGTGTTTGTGGACAGGCTGTGTGTGTCTATGGGGTGTTTGTGGAAAGGCTGTGTGTGTCTATGGGGTGTTTGTGGACAGGCTGTGTGTGTGGGATGTGGGCACAGGGCAGCAAAAGCTTTGTCACCACTGAGGCCCTGGGAGGAACCGGCCAGAGCCCTCCCCACAGTCGCACAGAGAACAGCAGCTCCAGTGGACCCCAGGGTCCCGTGCATTCTGTGCACCTGCTGTGAGCCACAGCTGTGGGTAGAGTTTAGCAGACACAGGACAATGGGGAGCGAGCTGTGCTCATCAAGGGGTCATCTCCCTTGGGACGGGTGGGGGCCTTGGAAGGCTCAGTGGGCTGGGGGGGCCAAGGAGCACATGGCAGGAGGCCAGGCAGTAAGGTGCGACGGTGCCCCTCATCCAGCACCCCCAACACATGAAGCCCAAGTACAGGTGACTATTTGGAAATGGTCCCAGGACTCAGGGCAGGAATGGAGGGTGGGAGGCAGGAACACAAGGTAGCTAATGGGATGTCTCACTGAGCCTGCATAAGCACCCTTGCACAGGGTGCCCAGCAGAACACCTGTCTCAGAACCCCCTAGACTTTGAGTTTGGGGCTGCCGTGGTACAGAGCTTCTGGGGGCAGGACAACAGTCCACAGGCACCACAGCAGGAGCCAGGGGCTCAACGAAGGCCTCAGAGCCATGGGGTCATGAGCCCGGCCGGTGAGCATGGGAGGCATGCGGAGGCCCTGCCAGGGTCTGCTGGGGGCTGTTCAGGAAGAGATCAGGCTGCAAAAACCTCCCCAAGATGGCCAAAGGCAAGGCCGGGGCGCAGGGAGACTTGGGTGGTCGTGGGGGGGGGCCCGGCTGCAGAGAGGCATGCCAGCAGGCATGGGAGGGGTGCTGCCCCACCAGCCCCACTTACTGTAGTCATGCACCGTCGCTCGCACGAAGGTGTCGTTGGCCAGAGCCAAGGTCTCGTTGGGGGCGTGCTCCACGCGGAAGGTCTGCTGGGCCCAGGGGTCCCCGGGGAGCAGGGTGCTCGTGTACCGCCTCACCAGCTCTCCCGACGCTGGCACCACGTCCGCATCAAAGACACGCAGCGTGGCCACCACGGTGCCCTGGGTGATGCACATGGCCACAGTCAAGACTGCTGAGTGGGACCTTCCAGTGCCCCAAAGACAGTGCCCGTGGGAGGGGGCCCAGCCCCCAGACAGCCACACCAGAGCGCTCGGTCAGAGCTGGCTCTGGACACAGACTGACCTGGGCTCTGGTCCCCATGGGGCCACTTGTCAGCGCGGTCCAGTTCCTCACCTGTGCAACAGGTGTGACACGCACCTACAGACTTCCCCGCCAGGAGCAATCAGAGCAGACAGGGTTCATCCAGGTCCCCACAGTGGAGACGGGCACCTCCACTCTCCCCAAGGGAGTTGGGCCTCACAGGGTGAAGGGCAGTTCAAGGTCACAAGCAATGGCAGAGCCAGGTCCAAGCCCAGGTGTGGAGCAGAGCGCTCCCCTCCAAGTGTCATTGGCAGAGCAGGCTGGTGGGGGAGCTGTCTCCATTCACCATGTCCTCTGCTGTCCCCCCACCCCCCATGGGCTCCCACGGCCTTTTTTGCTGCAGGATGGCCGGAGAGCCAGCAGGTGGCGGTAGCGCTCCACCTGCGCGGCCCAGAGACCGGAGGGGCTGGATGATTGGAGCAGAGCAGCAGGCCCTGTGAGATGCCCCTTCCTTCCGCTCTGCCGTCCCAGGGTTCAGTGCTTCCCCCCACCCCCCACCCCGCTACGGCACTGGCTGGTGGTGGAACAGAATGAGCGTCCCACACGGTGTGCTGCAGATGCTTGCCCTTGAGCCCCGTGTGTCTGCTTAGACTCAGGCTAGGCACCCAGGGCTCCTGGCCTCTCCAACTAGAGCTAGCAGAACTCCTCCTGGAGTGCCCGGGCAGACAGACAGAGGGGTGAACGAACGGGACGAACAGACCAAGGAATCAGCCACAGACTGAGGCAAACAGACAGCGGGAAGCAGTTTCCCACACTGGGGACAATCACCTCCTTGCGCTTGAACTCCACCACGGCGTCGGCGGTGTCCACGCCCCCCGGGAAGGTGGGCGGCGAGTCGTCCTCATCGTAGACGGTCACGGGGAAGGGCACCATCACGGCCTCCTCGCGCGCGCCCACGCGCACCGTGCACTTGGCCACCAGCTCGTACTTCTCCCGTTGCTCGCGGTCCAGGGCCCAGAGCGTGCTCACCTCTAGGCTGTCCGGGGCACAGCGGAAGGGCCCGTCCTTACCTGTACAGTAAGCAGACAGGGGCTGGGGGACGAGGGAGGCGGGAAGGGGGCGCAGGCGCGTGCTGGCCTCCTCCCCTAGAGAAGCCCGGGGCTCCCAGGGTTTTCGGTTTTGTGTGGGCGGGGACCAAGAGGCCAGTGGAGGGGGTCCTCCGTCTGGAGTGGGCATGTGTGGGGTCAGGTGGCTTTGCTTCAGCTACAGCCCCCGCCCCCGGGGGGGGGACTAGCTCTGCACACTGGCAAGGTTTTAAAAATGAGGAACTTAAAAAAAAAATCTAGAGGTAACGTGCTCATTTTAGGGAAGGCAAGAAACAAACCCACAACACAGGGGAACACGTGGGACTGTGGGGGCAGCTTCTGTGTCCTCCCCAGCTGACCTGCAGAGCTCCTGGCTCAGCTGCCCACTCTGCAGCCACTCACAGACCCCAGCCAGCAGAGGGAGACCCCCGTGAACCACAATGCACCCTCCAGCAATGACCCAGGAAGACAGGAGGCTGGCTGGGTGAGGATGATGCCCCAGACACCCCCCAGCTGGCTGGCCGCAGGGGAATGAGGAAGGCCACATATCCAGGCACCAGCCGGGAGATGCTCCCCCTGCCATCTCTCCCTCTACCCCCTTCAATGGCCAAAACCTCGCTAAACGAAACCTGCATACCATTTGGCACACACACACACACACACACACAAACAAAACAAAAAACAAAACAAAAACAAAAACAAAGCACCTGTTTTGCCAAGCACTGGGGTCAAGGACACACACCCCAGGGAAAATAAAAGCAGGCTGAGGAGTGGGAGGGGTGGGTAATCCACCCAGAGTTCAGACTGGGACATTAAAACAGCCCAGTGCGTGCTTCAGACCTGCTGGGCTGCCCTAAACCTCCCCACCCCAAACCACACCGAAGCCAGTGGTCTGATGATCCTTTCAAAGGTAAGTCAGGCTCAGTGGGTTAAGCTGCTCCTGCATCCCATATCACAGCGCCAGGCCAAGTCCCGGCTGCTCCGCTTCTGATCCAGCTCCCTGCCAATGCACCTGGGGATGCAGCGCAAGATGAGTCAGTGCTTGGACTGCTGCCACCCATGCGGAGACCTGGATGGCGTTCCAGGCTCCTGGCTTCAGCCTGGCCCAACCGCAGCCGCTGCGGTCATTTGAGGAGTGAACCAGCCGATAGATTTCTTTGTCTCTCTCCTTCTCTCTGTCATTCTGCCTTTCAAATAAATAAATCTTGAACAGATGCTAAAAAATCAGGACCTGAAACAGCCTCCCCCTACAGCCTTCCATGGCTCCCCATGTCCCGAAGGGCTCTTCTCCCATCACCCTCTGCTCTCTCCAGTAGCTAAAAACTGTCCTCCAGCCATAGGGGGCCACGTTGGCAACCTTCAGGGGCCACAGCTGCACATCTGGTGCCCATTCACCTTTGCTCTGTACCTCTGCTCTTACCACCCAACTCAAGACATACTCTCCACCACGGCGTGGCCTCCCGAAGCCACTGTGTCTCCATGGCCCCAGTATGGGCTCCATCCCTGGGGGGATTGAGAGCCCCAGGCAGGCAGGACGCTGCCCTCCTGGCTTCTAGAGCAGCACCTGGCTCAGATCCTCCTGCACGGTAGCACTCACCTTCCAGGAGCCCGTAGGTCACGCTGATGTTGGGGCACAGGAACTGCACGGGCAGCAGCCGGAACTGGTGGAAGGTGCCGGGCGGCTTGTTCTCCCGGATGCGGAAGGAGAGGTCGGTCTCCGGGAAGCAGAGCTCGCGGGGCGAGAGCGAGCTGCAGGCGGGGAAGGAGGAGTTGATGCAGGAGAAGTAGACGCGTGCACAGCCGGGCCACTGGCACTCGGCCTCGCGCAGGGACACGGGGGACAGGAAGACCTGGAGGAAGATGGTGAGCAGGGGGAAGCCGCCATCTGCAGGGAGAGAGGAGGAGTCAGTTGCCGGGGAGGCGCATGGAGGGGGTGGAGAGGGGCAGGAGCTGCAGGGTTCACGGTGGGGTGGGTCCCAGGGCTCTGTGGGCTCTCTGGCCCTGGCGGCCACCTCCCTTCCATGCCTCAGGGCCCCACATGCCCGCCTCCCCTGGCACTCAGGTCTTAGCTCAGATGCTCCCTCAAGGAAGTGCCCTGGGCACTGGGTCCAGCGTGCCTCACCTGCTGCAGGTGGCCGACTGCCCAGTAGGTGGCAATCAGTAGCAGCCCCCACCCCTGCCACAGCCTCCCTGAGGGAGTCTTGGCATGGCCACACCTGGCACCTTGGGGGTGTGTGTCGTGTGTGAAGGTGTGTGTGGTGTGCATATGTGTGTGCATATGGTGCTGGGTGTGTGTGTCGTATGTGCATGTGTGTTTGTGTGGTGTGGGAATGTGTGTGAGTGTGTATGTGTGGTGCTGGGTAGGTGTATGTGTGCATGTGTGTGGTACATGGTGTGTGTTGTATGTATGTGTGTGCATGTGTCTGGTGCGTGGTATGTGTGCATGTGTGCGGTGCATGGTGTGATTGTGTGTGTATGTATGTGATTTATGTGTCTGGTGCATGGTATGTGGTATGTATGTGTGTGGTGTGTGTATGTGTGTGGTACATGGTGCATGGTGCGTGGTGTGTGTGTGTGTGTGTGAGAGTCTCTGTGTGCTGCTGCCTTACTGCGAAGGCTGAGCTTCTCCCAGGTGTGTGTGGTGCGTGGTGTGTGATGTGTGTGTGTGTGTGGTGTGTGTATGAATGTGTGTGTGTATTTGTGTGTGTGTGTGAGTCTCTGTGTGCTGCTCCTTACTGCGCAGGCTGAGCTTCTCCCAGGTGTGTGTGTGGTGTGTGGTGTGTGTGTGTAGTGTGTGGTGTATGTATGAATGTGTGTGTGTGTGTGAGTTTCTGTGTGCTGCTCCTTACTGCGCAGGCTGAGCTTCTCCCAGGTGTGTGTGTGGTGTGTGATGTGTGTGTGTGCGTGTGTGTGGTGTGTGGTGTATGTATGAATGTGTGTGTGTGTGTGTGAGTCTCTGTGTGCTGCTCCTTACTGCGAAGGCTGAGCTTCTCCCAGGTGTGTGTGTGGTGTGTGATGTGTGTGCGCGTGTGTGTGGTGTGGTGTATGTATGAATGTGTGTGTGCGTGTGTGTGAGTCTCTGTGTGCTGCTCCTTACTGCGCAGGCTGAGCTTCTCCCAGGTGCTCTGGTCCAGGCTGCGGTTGAGGTACAGAAGGCCGGTGTCCTCGTGAATGCGGATCCACTCGTTTTCGTGCAGCCGGGTGCGGTAGGCTCCGTAGAGGTGCTGGCCCAGGCGGAAGCTGGCCACCTCCCCTGGGGCGTCCCGCAGCGCGTGCACGTACAGCAGGGGCGTGCCGGCCGGCTGGTCCACGTACAGCTTCTCCCAGTAGGCATCCCGTGAGAAGTAGAGGCCCAGGGGGGCTGCAGAAACAGGGATCGATGCTGAGGCAGCGCGGGGATGGCGGCTGCTTCCCAGGCAAACAGGCAACACCATCAGTGGACGCTTCTGCCCTCAGGAGGACTCCCACCTCCAGCCCTGAGAACGCAGCTGACCACTGGCTGCCCACGCACCTGCTCCAAGGCAGAAAAAGAACAAGAGAAGGGAGAGGCGGCACGGACAGGTTCCTGACGAGGATCGCCAGACAAGGGCACGTGACCTTGCCAGACAAGCCACCATCACCGACAGCCGAGAAGCCACGTTCCGAGAACGCCAGCGTCTGTCTGTGTGTGAGCACGCCCCATACAACCCGGCAACCCCACTCTGCCCACCCCAGCCGGCTGAAACCGCACGGCCACTGGGTGAGCTTCTAAATAAGAGTGCAGGGTGAGAGCTGGAAGACCCTCAATGCCCTTCATGGCAGGACGGATGGACACACTTGGTGGAGGGGCATCTGTCCTTGGGACCCTACACAGCCATCAACAGGGAGAGGCTGTGGACATCCCCCGCCTACAGGGGCCTCGGAGACACACGCCAAGGGCGGGAAAACGCACAGGCCCCACATCCTGATGGATCAGACAGGGTTGGCGCATTCAGGGGAGAAGGAGCGGCTCCCGGGACACATCTGCTTGTCAGCAGGGGCCCGCTGAGATGCCCGCATTGTAACCCTGGCAAGCTTGATCCAGGGTAATGAAACACTGTTCCCCAAGATGGCTATGGGCAGAGGCGTAGCTAAGTACGGTGAAGAAGGCAGGATGCCAGCCTCCGCTATGGCTGGATCTGGCAGACCCATGTATGTCCCACACTGTTTTTATAATAAAAAGTGTTTTCAATAGCTGGAATTGTTTTGGTGCCTATGTGCTCCGTGGATGGGAGTGTAGAATGGCACAGCTGGGGTGGAAGACAGTACTGTGTTTCCTCAAAAGTTAAAAAACAAAATTACCCTGTGAGCCCATAATCCTAGGGCTGGTCTACACCGGCAAGAGAGACCTATGTATGCCTGTGTTCACAGAGGAGCTGTTATACACACAACAGCCACTAGGGGGCAGCGACGAGCAAAAGGTGGTTACACATACAATATAATAGCAAACCAAGGAATTGTTGACAGGCTACAACCCATGGACCTTGAGAAGGTTATGCTTGGGAGAGTGAGATCAGACACACACGGAGCCACTGCATTGACGGGAGCGTCCCAGAGACAGGAGGACACTGGCCGCCAGGGGCAGACTGACGGAGTGCATGGTTTCATTTTGGGGATGGTGGTGATGGCAGTACAGGGCTGCGGGTGAATTTAAAGCCCCTGAACCATACGCCTAAGCAGTTAAGGTGATCAATTTTATACCAAGTGACTTTTCCTTTATGAAAGATAGCTACGAATTTTAAGAGAGATGGATAAACAGGTTAAGAGTGCTTAACACCTAGTAAAACCTGCAACTAAATCCTAGCACGCACACAAACAGCACACGTGAGAAACGCGGACACAGCAGGCAGCAGCTCTCACCCTCTGGGGGGGGGGGACACACCATAGCCCTGGGCTTCCCAATAAGCAGCAGCTGTCCCGGGGGTGGGGCTGGGGGGGCCTTGTGCAAAGGCTTTTGGGGAAGCTGGGGGTTTGCAGGAGAGAGGTTGTGTGCAGGCTCGGGGAGGCGCCGTGCGCAGCCCAGCCACACCTTGCAGCCGCCTCCTCTGGGGGCAGCCCAAGCTGCGCTCCCCCCTCCCCTCCTGAAAGACCACATGTGCCGCAGAGAACGGCTCTGTCCATGCTCTCCTCGAAGAGCTGGGTCCTGGAGGACCGTGTGGGGCCCCTCACTGCTGCCAAAAGGGATCTGTGTGTCGGGTGATGATCAGGAACAGGAACAGATGTAAATGCACTCAAAATGCCTCCTAGGTGGTCCCTCCGGCCACAGGCACTTCCCAATGGCAGAACACACGGTTCGAGGGGGCACCCAGGAGGCGGGTGCAGGGCCAGCCCCGGGGGAGCACACAGAGGGATCTCCTGCGTTTCACTTCTGTCACCACCGTCCTCTTGAGGCACACCTAATTCCAGACCAAGGAACGGCAGAGGCGGAGAAAAGCCAACAGGGAGGCGGGCTCTGCAGAGACCTCGCCCTCTCTGCGTCTGTTTCCACCACCATGAGCCACAGGAGGACCTGCCGAGGTGAGGAGGAACCACCAGGGCAGGTGTGGACAAGCCGACGCCTCTCTACAGGTGTGTGTTGTTACAAATTTCACTATGGGCTCACGCCTCTGGCCACAGGTCCCTTCATGGGCCCATTTCACAGACAAGAACACTAAGGCCAGGAGTTGGAAGACTGATCCAAGCCAGACAGCTGGGCATATCCTGGGATGGCAGCAAAGTGACGGTGGGGGTGAGGCACAGGGCGGGCGCTGAGCCCATGGGGGTGACTGCCCCTCGCAGAGCCTACCTGAGGGCAGAGATCTGTCTCTGGCCAGCGGCAGAAACCTCAATCGCCTCCCAAATGCCACATGACGACAACACCACACCGTCCTCCACAGGTCCCGTCAGGGCTGAGCCCGCCCTGCAGCACCCCGTGGCCAGGCTGGCCCACTCTGCTCACAGCACACCTGTGGGAGACCCCCGCTGCCACCGCTCATTTTGGGAGGGACTGTGTATGTCACGCATGCGTGCCTGTGTGTTCATGAGCAAGTACACATGTGTGCATGCAGGGGACAGACACGGAGCTGCCTGCCTGTTCCCACCTACCCGACCTGACTCCACCTGTTCCCACACGACCAGACCCCGGCCACGCAGACTTAGCCCTGGCTCCTTCTTGGGGTAGGGCTTCCTCTGTAACCCCACCACGGCCCTGGCCACTCAGAATTCAGGGTCTCATCTGGTGCACGGGGCTGGGGGTTTACTTCTAACTTCTGTGTTTTCAGCCAGGAAACACCTTTTGCAATTTGGCCGGGACGTGGCATGTGTAGGATCCTATTTGGCTGCAGACGGGAAGCAGCCATGAGCCCTCCTCCCACACGCAGACATGCCTCGTCACGCACACTGTCCACATGTGCACATTCCCAAGGCTGTTGCTGGGCTCCGGGTGGGTGCCGCTGTGTGCAAGCAGCATGATGCTGAGCTCCGTGGGTGTAGGACGCTGGCGGGGGGGGGGGGGGGAGGGGAGGTGAGACTGGACACGGGCTTGCTTGTGCTTCCGGGGCAGCCTGCGGGCCCAGGGCATGGGGAGCTGCAGCAAACTCTGCCCCTGGTGTGTGCCCAAAGCACACAGTTTTTTGGCCCCTGCACGGCCCATATCCAAGTTCAGAGATGCATTCCTGCAGCCCACAGGAGCCACGCGCAAGCACGCACACATCTGCTCTCACACAGTGCAGTCCCAGTCTTGCTCCAGCAAGCACGTTCAAGTACAGGCAGCCCCCGATGCCCCAGGTTCCACAGCCTTGGATTCAACCAGCCACGGATAGAAAAGACTCAGGGGAAGCAATGCAGATGTTCTGAAGGCATGCCGACTTTGACCTTGTCGGCATCCACTCAATGATACCGTCTACCCGGGAGTTACACGGCGTCCACACTGTTATTAGGGATTGTAAGTACTCCAGACCTGATTTAAGGTGTGAAGGAGGGGCGGGCATTTGGCCCAGGGGCTGAGACGCTAGGATGTGGAGCTGTTCCATGCCGGGCCCGCTCCTGACTCCCGTTTCCTGCTAATGCTGACCCTGCGAGGTAGTGGTGATGGTTCAAGTAGCTGGGTCCTTGCCTCCCCACCCTTCTCTCTCTCCCTCTTTCAAGATCTATAAATTTATTTGAGAAGCAGAGTTACAGAAAGACAGAGAGCAAGAGACAGAGAGAAAGGTCTTCCATCCACTGGTTCACTCCCCAGACGGCCACAACAGCTGGAAATGAGCTGATCCAAGGCCAGGAGCCAGGAGCTTCTTCTGGGTCTCCCATGTGGGAGCAGGGGCCCAAGGACCTGGGCCATCTTCTACTGCTTTCCCAGGCCACAGCAGAGAGCTGGATTGGAAGTGAGGCAGCCGGGTCTCGAATCAGTGCCTTTTTGGGATGCCGACACCGCAAGCGGAGGCTTAACCACAGCGCCTGCCCTGGGTTCTTGCCTCTTAAGCTGGAGGCCTGGGTTGGGGTCTTGGCTCCCACCTTTGGCTCTGTCCTGGGGCTGTCAGGGAAAGTGAACCAGTGTTTCAGGTTCTGAATCTTAAAGAAAACTTTAAAAAACAAAGCAAGGCCGGCGCCGTGGCTCACTAGCCTAATCCTCTGCCTGCGACGCCAGCACCCCAGGTTCTAGTCCTGGTCGGGGCACCGGATTCTGTCCCAGTTGCCTCTCTTCCAGGCCAGCTCTCTGCTGTGGCCCGGGAGTGCAGTGGAGGATGGCCCAGGTCCTTGGGCCCTGCACCCGCCATGGGAGACCAGGAGGAAGCACCTGGCTCCTGGCTTTGGATTGGCACAGTGCGCCGGCCGTAGCAGCCATTTGGGGGGTGAACCAACAAAGGAAGACCTTTCTCTCTCTCTCTCTCACTGTCCACTCTGTCAAAAAAAAAAAAAAAAAAAAGAAAGAAAGAAAGAAACAATCATTTAACACACACACACACACACACACAGTCCAGGGGAGAATGTGTGTAGGTTCCACGCAATGACTATGCCATTTATCTCCGGTCTCCATGGACTAGGCTATGTGCAGGGGTCTTAGAACCAATCTCCCATGGATACCAAGGAATTGGCTGTGTTCTTTCACACTGTTGCAAACTTACACTCACTCTCATTGTTGCACACCTGCCTGTGATTACACAAGTCTGACACACTCAGTGCAGATGAACCGAGGCTGCCACCCCCAGCCTCCATCTGTGGCCCCCGGAGCCTGCTGGATCCCAAGGCAAGGGGCTCCCACGCCCAGCCCTCCCCAGGGTCCTGGCCTCTGGTCAGGAGCCCCACGCAGCCCACCTGAGGCCCCCTGCACCTTGTCACCAGTCCTGTGGGGGGGGTGCCACTCCCAAC